TAAAATGTAAGTAAATATTTGTAATTATACATAAAAAAGTACTTTTAACCAACTGTGACATTTATTTTAAAAAAGCTATCAATCTATAAATCAGACATGCCATGCAACAAAAAAACTAAATAACTATTTACCGTAAACAAAATGTATGTATACATGTTTCAGTGACAACTTACTCATTATTCACGAAATCTCTTACCTAAATAAAGCCAAACTAAACATAGAATATCGAATTAATTACAAAATTTTAAGTCATCTGTACCTCGAAATAATTAGGGAAGATTTATTGAGTTGCCTGTGTATTGAATATATTCTGTAATCTGACATGTAAGTACTAAAATAAATTACTTAATTGTTATATTATAACAAAACGTAAGTATTAACAAACATTTAAGTAGTTTCCAAAACACAAATTCCACGCGTGTAAAAGTAAAACAAAGCTTTACCCAAACTACAGAAAATGAAGTTAATCACAATTACGTAATTTTAAACTTTAAAAAGTTCTGATCAATTTAAATAAAGTTATATAGAATTTAAATAAAACTATTCAATTTAGTTCTTTTTTGTTTATAAATATGCCCCTTTTAAGTTTAAATGGTTCAAATCATATTGGACATGAACCTATAATATTATCAAAATAGGTGAAAATAATAAGCGGTAAACTATATCCTAAATATAAAATCTTAACAAAAAGCAATAGCTGCTAATGCAGCTTATTATGGATGGGACTTCTTTGAACAAAACAAACAACCAACTTGTAAAACATACAAAATGTATGTATATAATCATACTTTAAATAACTTCTTATTAGATTTAAATACTAAAATAAAAATAAATAAGAATCAATATTTTACATCAAATAAAATGAATTATATTTTTTTAATTAGTACTATTGACAGCTGACGTTAAAGTTTGTCCAATTGTTTGATATCATTAATCAAAACGTTTCAAATAGTAGGTAAACTGCTGACTAAATAGGGTTGCAACCAGTAACAATGAAGAAAGATAAATAATCATTAAAGATTATATTATTATTCTTTAGTTTTAAATATATAGCAGTTAAATGCTCAAAATAAATATATAATAATATGTACTATTATTCTTATTAAACAAAATAATAATAACATTTTTTTTGGTCCAAAATAAAAGCAAACCCATAGAATAGTTATTTAATTGTTGTTTGGATTGCATAAGCTTTCAAGACGTTTGTATGATATCACTTTAATTTAGTGATTTTATAATTACCGTAGAAATTACACGGAGATCACATTTCTGATTTAAGTTTAAGTTAAGTATCTAAGATCAGTTTCTATCTAATTTTCAAATTTAAGGACCATTCAAAAGAGCTTTTTAATAAATCAATATGAATATAATTTTTTTCATTTCGATATATTTGTGACGATCTCCGTGGTCGAGTAGTTTGTATGCCGGGATTCAGGGTGTCTCCTACTCGAGAGGTCCCGGGTTCGAATCCCGGTGGGAGCAGATGTTTGTGTGATGAATACGAATAGCATTTGTACTCCAGTCATGGATGTTTAATATCTTTTTCTATATAAATATACTTATATATGTACAGTATATGTATTCTATCCGTTACCCTAGTATTCCATAACACAAGCCTAACAGTGCTTAATTTGGAGCTAAGCTAATTGGTGTGTGTTGAAAATATTTATTTATTTATTATTGTTTTAGACTTTCATGGTCACTAACATTATAACTATTAACGGGATTATTACCATGTGTTACTCCGTGATCTCATACAAACTCTCATAAAACAAGGTGCATGGTAACAATCCCGTTAATAGCTATAATATTTTTATTTCATTTTATTTTATTTAATTTTCGAAGGACTATCAGTTGACGTGCATTTATTTACAAAAACAAATTTTGATTTTATAATTTTTTGCCACATCATATTCCTTCAGAGCTTTTAACAAGTTAGTATTAAAGTAAAACTAGCAATTATTCTGTTAAATGTGACCTGTCGATTTACCATTTGCGGAGACGCCTCTTAACAAGGGGACATTGTGAGCAACCCTGTACATACTAACGGAGCGATATAGCTGCATATTGAGCAACATTCACCGGAAACGCTACCGGGCAATCTTGTGGCCGATCTACTGGCTAATTAGTGATCGTCGATACTATGCGGACTATGTGGTTGGTACTGGATGCGCATTTCGCCCACTCATCCTGGCGGTGGCAGCTGCCGCCGTAACATGACAAATGTCAGTCACCGAGTTCAAAGTATTATTTTTAATGTCATACATTTTTTTTCTTACATCGAATAAAAACGTTTTTTTTTTTTGTTATTTTTATAAATTAAACTCTCATAGAAAGTGCTGCCTTTTTAGTGGTGTTTGACAAAATCTCGTCAATATGTACTTAGTCAGTTTTAATGTATACGAATAACAAAACATCGGCTTATTTGCTTAGTTGACAATTGGGGCCAATGAGAATCATCTCACTAACCGGTGGTTTTTCGTTCTTCGGCACCACGTATTTGTCGTATTATCGTGTGGAGCTATTGAAAAGAGTTAATTAAATTAAAATACCTTTGCCGAACGAATCCCCCTATGGAGGGCCACCATCTTTTTTGTCACCACAGAAATCGACTCACATGCGATTTGTTGAAATAATTATAAAAACAAAAAATATCAGTTTAAAATACCTATAACGTGATTTCATTTAAGAAATATTGGTTAAGTGTGTGGGGCAATGACATTAAGAGAACTAAATCATCGTGTAAGATTCATTCATTCTCTTAAAATTTTGAAGAAGGTCCTGTTCAGTGCAAAATAATTGGTTATTTTATATGTTATTCCCTGTATTTTGAACCTAAAAAATATAATATCCTTCTAAAATAAAATGAATGTCAAATGCAATGCGAAAACATAAAAAAATGGGGTTTTTGTGTGTAAGAAAGGGGTTCTTAATTTTATTTTTATGTAGAGGCAAGAGAAATACACTGCGAAAATTATTATATATTAAATATTTACATATAGTATAAATAGAATATATCGGGATATTTAGCGGGATACGGCTTGCTGACAGGCGCAGGGATGGGCAGCGTAGTTTGAGTTTTATAATGATAATTTAATTGTTAATGTCAGTTCCGTTGTGTGTGTTTGTGTTATACCGTAAGAAACACTTAAATAGTCCCCTAACTTTTTCTTTAATTGCCAATGCTTAGGAATCTATATATATATACTTTTTCAAACTCAAACTATTAATAACCGAGGAATAAGGTTAGACTACTTACGCCGTGTTTTGTTCATGTCACTCAAATGCCATTTGTCATTCAATAGACAGAGATAAAATATAGAGTAATATTATTAATGAGAGGGTTACTGTCTTGAATATTTTTGTTTTGTTGTTGACTGCGAGCTTTTGTGAAAATCGATAAGTTAGTGTAAGGCACTTTTTAATTATTAAGATAGTAGAAGAACTAATTAGAAAGCTAATATTCAAGAGATTTTTATCAGCTTTCGATTTAGAAATAGATCTTCATAAACATATAAATTTTAAACTATATTATGGTAATAAAAACTGAGTTTTTATTAGGATAACTTTTGATAACTTGCTAGACAAACCAAATATTCTAGCGTAAAACGGATGTAACAGTAAATAGGCTTTAATAAGTACCGGATGTAACACAAAAAAAATACGGAAGTTTAAGACTCTCTTAATTAGTAAGTAACTAAGTTTATAAAGAGGAAGAAAATAATAAAAAATTGAGGTACGATTTAATCAAACATTTTATTTTAAAAATAAATTAGGAACTTTATGATATATACTCGTAAATTAAAAATACTAAAGAATGAATTACTTTATGATTTACGCGTAGATCGTAGCTACCAATTATGTGATAATAATTATTGATTAGTAAATACTTATATCCTAATATATTTTTGTTTCAGTTTGTTGTTATATATTTTACCATAAATAAATATTTAATGTTATTATAAAACCATGTACAAATAATAAATTATGCGGCTCATATTAAATAATCTTAAAAAAAATTTAATGACCCCAAAAAAAAATACAACTGGTGAAGCAAAAAAATACAATTGTTAGGTACCTTACCTTAGGTGAACATTCACTATTTTTGACGGGTATTTAAATAGCTTTCCAAATTATATTATTGGACATTATGATCACATAAACAGTGCGTCTAAAAATGCCGTAGGCCTAAATTCTAGTTCGTATAAATGTTTTAGTTTAATGCAATCTTGAGATTAACAAAGAGTTATAACTTTAAACTTTGAGACTTATGTACGTAAGTTACCTTATCTACAAATTAACTTGGAATATCGTTACTTTTATTTTGCAATTACATGCACAGACGAAGAAAACAAGAAAATTACCTGCTAAGATTTTAAAACGAGTATTCATAAATGGGTCATCTTAAGTTGGAGCGTTTAAAGTAACCTTACATGGGTTTGTAGATAGGTATCTATAAAATCTAAGGAAATCAGCCCACTATTAAAGTAAGAGAACGATAAGACGACTTTGAATGCAAAAGAAGTAAGTCCTACATACCTATGTAGGACTTATCGTTCTCTTACTTTAATAGTGGGCTGATTTCCTGAAGTTGGCAAACTCTATCTAACTAAATAAAATCTGTTCACAGTGGTTTTCAATGGATGGTCAGTTTAACTATTTCTAGGTACTTTAAACTTTATCGATGTCAAGTTTCACACCTATGTAACAACATGCGAGTATCTTTTGCAGGTGGGTTAAGTCTGTTTCTGTTACTATTAATTTATTAATACGGTGTGAGCAGATAGATTCACAGTAAAAGTACCAGTTAAACCTCTGAAAGAAACACGTATATGTTAATTTCAGTCTTTAACTCCTATTAATTTAGTATATTTTTCCGAACAGGTGACTGTATATATTTACAATGTGTCAAGCCTATTAGCGTGACAGATAATATGACAAATAATAAATTATATCTAGCCAGCATGCAGCCCCAACAAATATTAAGTAGGTCGGCTTACCATTGGGTGATATATTTAGGGGCTGCGAGATAGGGGCGGCCGCTGGTGGCGCCGGCTCCATCTTCCAGGAGGCGCAGCACGAGGCAGGCGAGAACTCGGACGTTGGGCCGCTGCCCGCAGATATCAACATGGTCGACCCACCGCACTACAGGACATTCGAGACATACAGTCCACTACAGTTCACGACCAGTCTGTCAACTATGTTCTCGTAATGTTATTATCATAGGCACACGGACGCGACTGCTCGCACGCGCTCGCTCGAAGCTCAGCCAGAACACTGAAGAGCGCGCTTGCCGTGCCGGCGCGCCCACTCGCGCGCCTACTCCCATTCGCGCCTTGGAAAAAATCTCCACCGCAAAACAATAACAAAAAACTATCTCTACCGAAAGGTACCTCCGTACACCTCTCACTCTAACGTTCTTAATTCGATTTCCGAACGCGTCAAAATTACAGCAACGCTCGATTCGATTGCAACCTTCCGTCCCATTCTTAGCTTTTTAAATTCAACTACTGGCACAGAGTATCCGTCACCAACCTTATTCCCTATGCTATACAGACTATGTTTGTTTGTTTTCGACATTGCGCTTATGATGTTTTTCCGTAAACGAGATTGAAGCTACTCCTACTCGCACTCGTTCGGTTCAGCTTAAGCTTGAACTGCATGAAAGAGACAGGTGCTCTACCGGCAGGCAGAATTACGATAGTGAGCACAGGTGATCTTTTATCATTCCTTCACGGCGGAGGTGTTAATGTATACCTGACTCTTTCTAGCTGACGCCATTTTATGTGCACATTAAGAGACAAATACATAGCGAGACTCGCTGTTTTAATTAAATGCGGGTGTAGTTAACCATGCTTAGCATCCGTTTTAATAGTTAGTGGTATCGGACGCGCTCCGTTCTAATTAACTCAAAGACTAGATTCGTTATTACAAAGTTTATTGCTCGCACTGAAGTCTTTATTTCAGGGTGTATCATACAATTACATTGATAAATGTGGGAAAAAACATAGTGGCTTTCAGAAGGTACCAATAAATTTTCGATGATACGTATAATGGCTGGTATTCATTTGGTAGCGGGTACTTCAGGCATTTCATACATAAATAAAATAATAAACATACAAAAAAAATCATTAGCATCATACTTAGATGACCTATTCATGAGAAGGGGTCTCATTTAATGGGAATATGAAGCGATTCACACATAGGTACTAGTTACTCGCTTAACATATGCTCTCTACCGATAAAAGAGTCTGTATGCAAAGGAAATTAAATCTGAATTAATAACAATTACATTGAGCTGTGGTCGACAAATTGCAGTAGGGAGAAATAAATCTTTTGATCAAGTTAATATCACAGCAAGGTATTATTGTAATTACAGGAAAAACAGAAATTGCTATAAGGCTTTACCGCACGCAACTGTCGCAGCTCTATCTTGGCGATGCTTTGAATGTAAGACACCCATTATATATGTATTATTAATTTCAATGCATTTGTATCACAGCCCTGATTATTATTGTGGTTTCTCTTTGTATGATGTACTCTAAACGTAGCGACTCCTATAAATTATGTATTAGTATTTAGGTGAAGTTATTGTATGACCTATATTAGTTCCATGTATATTAAATATTCGTGTTTTTTTGCTATCCGTTGAATATTTGACTAATCATAAAATTACCGAGAAAATTGTACCTACACTTTCTGTTCTAAGACTATCTTTTCGATTCCCGATTAAAATGTTATTATTTAGTCTTATACTTATCAATTTTCCTTTTTATCAATAACACCTATTTAGCGTTGATTTAAGGATATTAGCGTTTAAAAATATAAATATTTAATATATATCTGAAATTAAAAAGTTGGGAAAATTTTACTCGTTCCTCGTAGTGACAAACGAATTATTTTCGTGATTTATTTTGTGAAATTACAACATAAAGTACTAATAAATATAAATCAGTATTTAATTTTATTAAATATCTTTCTTAACAGTCAGTGTCAGTTTTATGAATAATAAAAAATATAATGATTTCCTATATTAATGTTGAGACATTGAAAAACTTTTTTTAATAAATACTATACATTGCAACTTTTTTTTCGAACAAAATAATTTTTATTCTTCTTCATGCTTAGATGTCAGTTCTTACGGTATTTCGCTTTTTTAAAGGGAGCTTTACAACTGTATGAGTTACCCATTAATTGACTTAAATATTCAGGTACACTAAACACGGGGATCTTTATTTCTTACCAATTATACTAAATTATAATAATATGCTCAAGTACATATAAAAAGTACAAACATCAATAAAAGCACTTTCCTTAAAAATTGCTGACAGTACTTTCATAATTCTTTAATAAGTCTTCATTTTCAACAATTCCAACTTATATAAATTATATTTAAACCAGTTTCTATTAAGTCACGAAAGAAAAATCCGAGTGAAGAAGCAGAATTTATGCTGTATAATTAAAATAAATGAATTCGCATACCTTTATCACTATTTAAAATCCATGAAATATATACATGTTTTTTAAATAGAAAACAACAATAAAAAAGTAAAGCAAATAATCCTATCAAACAGTCAATCATATAAAATCATTATTTTTCTTATTAACAATATATATTGCTTTTTCATGTAGGTTTGTGAGTGCAATGTGCATTAGAGAGGTCGATATAAAATAATAAAAAACACATCAAAAATTATCAATAAAATTAATAAAATTGTAGTAATATATATTAAATTAACATTTATCAAAATTCCATATCATAAAATTTTAAATTAATTAATCTTATAAATTCTTGGCATTCGAAATCTAATTTAATTTTAGGTAATCGAATAGCGAGATTTATGTAGGCCTGTATTACAGAAAGATTCTCAATAATGAATCTAGTCTTAAGCATAGTTAGAAAGGGATGGAGCTATATATAGCATATATCGGCATCTCTAACTATGCTCAAGACTAAATAAATCACTGAGAATCTTTCTATAATACGGGCCTTAGTAACCCTATTATGCCCAACTATAAAGTGGCCTAATATTGGTCGGCATTGCCCTTTTGTTGAATTTTTATTTTACAAACAGTCTCCGTACAGTGTCTGCGGACAGGCACGGAGACACGCAGGATTTAGTGTCGAGATAGTGCGTGGGTGTCAACTAATGAATATATTTATTTATGTGTGGACTGGCCGCCGGCTTTTATCTCCCACCGACCGAGTATGTTCCGTGAGCTAAGTAGACACTATTCGCCTGCAACTAAGTAATGATTAAATTAATTGGTTATATTCAGCTGAGTTAACAGTTTTTACGTAATAGTGAAATAGAAAAAAAGAAAAACAATAAAAAAGATATTGTGATACTTTTTCGTAACGGTGTATAAAAAGATTCTAATTCCAAAAATAATGCCAGAATACCTAATAAATATGTGTCGTAAACATTAGAAACTGCCGTTAAAATTGCTGTTTTTTATGAAATAAGTTAACGCATTTGTTTCATATTTTTTATTTTTCTTTATCAAAGTTACCCAGGCAATCAATACATTTTTGCCAACGTTGTGGTAGCTTATTGATGCCCTTTTTGAAAAAGTCTGCTGGACGGGAGGTAACAAATTCTCTAAAGGCATTTTAAACTGCCTCTCGGTTATTGTTTTTTTCCCGCTAATAAGTTATCCAAATTTTGAACAAATTTGAAGTCTGTATGGGGCAAAGTCTGGTGAGTACGGTGGATGACGGAGAACTTTCCACCCCAGCTATTGTAACTTGGGGACCGTCTGCCGTCGTGGCTCGACTCGACGCGTACTTCGCGCTGGCGATTATTCGATGCAACGATCTTGCCAATTTGACACAAATGGACCAATATTGTTTCGACGCTAACATCGAAAGCTGCTGCTAATTCAGCAGTAGATTGAGAATCACAATCGCCTTTAATTCGTCATTGTCGAATAAAGTTTTTGGTCGACCACGGTGTTCAATTCTTAGGTCGAAATTTCCAGAATGGAAGCGGGCAAATCAATTACGGGTGGTGTGATCGTTAGTAATGGTTGCTCCGTATACGTCGTTGATGTTGCGTGCCGCTTCTGCACTTTGCTGCCACGGCCACGACGCCGGTACTCATACGCCGTAATCACTCGAATTTATAACTTATCCATGATGACAAAAAACGTACATATACGCTGAAATAAGAACACTAACCAATAAACAAATGACTAATTTCCAAAATAGAATTTTAATTTTCAAAATTAAAATAATTTTGACTTAGTTCTTAGCAAAAAAGAAAAAAATGGACTTGAAATAGCCAGTTCGGCAGAACGGCAATTTCATAGCTAAAGACCTGTTATCCAAAATAAATAATTTCTTTAATAAAAACGGTAATAATTACGACCTTGTATTCGATTTAGGTTAAATTTGTCAAAGAGATAGTTTGAGGCCCAAGAAAGGACATAAGAAAGTTTTTATCCCAGAAATAAGTTTTTACGCAGACGAAAACACCCAATAGTTTATATAAAACATATATATTCCGGTTTTTAAGGAAAAAATACAGTTATAGTTTTGCTTCTGTCACTGTTTTCAGTGACAACTACAGCTTAATAGCCCTTAGATAAATATAGATAGGAATATCAGAAACTTCATTCGAGTTCGATGGGATCGTTCAATTCGATGGGCCACGGACCCGTGTGATGGGCTACATTATTTTCTTTGTGTAGTCCAACCGACTCAGAACAGTGTTATGTAGCTGGTAAATTCCCTAATTCAGAGGATAATAGGCTAGTTGACACTTTTTGGAAATATGTTTTAAATTGTTAATAATTGTTCAATTAGACCGAAAAAAAAATGTATTGTTTTTTTTTTTACCTAGAAAGCTACAAACCTTTAATTTTAAAATAAATTTTCATGGACATACAAAAACGCTGTCGGCCATTTTAGTCTATAGATTATCTATGATATGACGGGAACAACAGTAAACAAACACTCGCAAGCACGTAGGATATAACCTATCTGAATTTACATTACAAAACCATGATTTCTAATAGATTTCATGATAAATATAGTAATTATCATGATTGTATTATACGAGAATAAAGAAACACATCGTTAAAAACTCCAGAAATATTGTGGTTTCAATTTTTAAGGTTATGAATGTACCTACCTGCTAAATCAAAGAGTTTTATCGTTTCTGCTTTCACAAATCCGGCGTCCAGCATTAATTCAGTCAAGAAAACCAATAAACGGAAACTTTTCTTCAAGATATAAAATTTTTTAGATATATTTTAGTCGGACGAAAGAAACCACAGTAACACGATAATGACGTTTAGTTGTTTTGCTATTATGCTGACGTCACAATCATGGTGGACAGCGTTTTTAGTGTTTAAAAAGCATAGACTAAAAAACTATTTTTCAAATTTAATTACTACAGCCATCTTCTAATTTTATGAAGTGAAATCGATG